ACAGAGATATAAATAAATATTGAACATATACTATATATGTAATATACTATTACCAGTGCTTTTTTTTTTCAAAAAAAAAAAAAGGTGCCGGAACTCACACACATCATACAACCCACCATGCCTATCCTACAAGGTTCCATCCAAAAAAGGTGCCAGAACTCTGTTCTGGGCGTTCTATGAGAAAAAAAGCCCTGACTATTACATTATGTGTTGAATATATATTGAATGAAGCTGGACTGGAATAATACGAGCACAGATTTAAAATTTGAGGAAAAAAAGATTAATAACTTTGTATGTCACTAATCTGACATGTCAATATGTGAATAATCTGCATACTCTGCTAATGAAATCAAAGACACAGTAATAAAAATGGGGATATGATGAAATATTAGGAATAAACTAGTTTAATATTAACAACAAATACATAGATCTTCTGTCTTTTAGGAAACAGTAAAGAGTCCAGCAGTAAAGCTTTGGAAAGGATGTTCAAATGCTTTTCAACCGGTGGTACTTTGGCACCTGGCAGGTGGTATGCAACCATCCTAGACAAGTGCAGCAGGGGAGGGGAATGAGATGAAGCGGCGGCAGCACTGCACAAGCCTGAGGGAGAGATAGCTGGAGCTGCAGGGCTGTTGGGGCTCAGCAGAAGCCCCAGGATTGACACAGGGCTCCAGCTGATTGGCGCTTCCGGAAGCAGCGCATAGCTGGAGGTGGACCAAAGGGAAAAGGAGGACGGGGGGGGAGAGGAGAGTATATAAAAAGTGATTTGGGCAGGAAAGGAAGAGGGGGGGGAAAGGCAAGAGAAGGGGATGGAGAAAGAGAGATGGAGAAGCACAGCCTTGAGGAGGAATCAGCTGGAGGTGCATCGCAGAGAAAAAAGGAGGCGGGGGGGGAGAAAGGAGAGGATATATAAAAAGAGGTGGTTTTGGTGGGAGAGGGGAAAAAAGACAACAGGGAAAGAGAAGGGGACTGAGAAGAAGTTGGAAGGAGAGCCACACAGGCAGGGACGAAGAAGAGACAGGGGACAAGAAACTGAAAGGAGAGCCCAGCAGGCAGGGAGGAAAAAGACACAGAGGACAAGAAACTGGAAGGAGAGCCCAGCAGGCAGGGAGAAAAAAGAGATAGGGGAGAAGAAACTGTGGAAGGAGAGCCCAGCAGACAGGGAGGAAAAAGAGAGAGGAGAGGGAGAGAGGAAGAAGGGCAGTGTATGCATATTAATAAATATGGATAAAGGGTGCATATTAATAAATATGGATAAATTCATCATACATTTGTCAGTGCAAACGGAAAGTGATTCAGTAAAGGAACTGCCACTGAAGAAATTAAAACTAGTACTTTTTTCCCTTTTTTATGGTTTGCAACATTTTATTAGATTATAGAATAAAATACAAAAATACAAAAGCAAATGGTAGGACACAATGGGGAGGAAAAAGGGGGAAAAGTGAGGGGAGAAGGGGAAAAGAAAAGGCATTGACTTCCGACTTCCTCTCTTGCAGTAGAATGAAGCATTAACATCGAACCTCAACTTTTTACTTTTCCATAATAGTATAAACTAGACGTTTCTATAACAAATCAATCTAATCAGTAAAACCCAAAATCCACCCCCTTTTTTTTAAGTCATCAAGTTTTTAATACCTTGCTAAGCGCTGGTACTCAAATATTGTCATGTTGTAAAAGCAGTATAATCTGTGAAAAGGTTGAAAAGTCCTGCTGTAATGTATCTATACCCACAAAATTTAAAATGACTGAAAAATGGTTGGATTTTTGAGAACCAGAAGAGAAAGAATGTTGATATTTCAACTCTCTGGATAACCAGGAAAAAGGATCATAGAACAAATCAATCCAAGATTTTCACTCGTGGCATGAATGAACAGGCTCAAATGCAAAGATCTAGATCCCTTAAGAACTTCATAATGTTAGGAAAAACTAAAGAAAAAATAGCCAGTAGTAAACTAGGAATAATTATATTGAAAACCAAATGGCCAAGATGAATACAGATCTCCTTGCAGAGAATCTATCTACACAGTAGCTAAGACAGACCAATTTGAAGAGATTAAGCAATCATTTCTGCATTCTGAATTTTTAAAAAGTATTTTAATAGTAACATGATCTGATGTACTTGAAATGGACATCTTAAAAATAATAAAAATGCAAAACAAAAAATGTATTCCTAGTTTTAAAGTTGTCACACACATACCACACACACACACACACACACACACATATACTGTAAATATGGTAAGAGGAATGGGTGGAGAATGAGATTAACTATGTTAAGTCAAAATGTCAATTCAGCAATTTTGTTAAATGAAGATTAATCATGACTAATTTTAATAATGATTAATGTTAACAAATCCATTTTAAAAGGGATTTATTGCAATTAAGATTAATAACACTTAATCCAGATTCAAATAAGATAATTTGGTCTACTGAAATTAATTTATATTTTCTGGGTTTCTATGTAAACTGACTCACAGGTACCCTTCAGCTTCTACACACACGGAATCTGTGATATTGTTTGCTCAGAAACTAGCATTCAAAAATGTTAATATTTATAGAAATTTTCTTGCAAACATGTATTTATGAGGAGAAAATACAAGAGAAGCAAAATCACATCAAATGTAGAGCAAAGTTATTTTATATGTTATAAAAACTTGCATGGAGGAATAAATGCATATTTTCTTACAATTTTAATATATAAATATATATAATATATAAGACGATGCAGAATTCTGAATGCAACAGACACTAAATTAACATGACAATAAAACTACCTGCACCTTCTTAAGCTCTGGCTGATTAGTGTGGGAAGCAGCTTTGCTTGTACTTTGCATAGGAAATATTTCTACACAATACTAATAGATTTTCAGATCCAAATTTAAAGGGAAAAACTCCCACAATCAAATTATTGTTCCAATGACAACCTTAGTGTTAATCCCTGGATAAATTGGGCGGGGGGGGGACAGGAACCTTGCAAAGTATTATCTGTTCATAGACAAGGAAACAAACTAGGTCAAGTGGTAAAAAATCAATTAGCTGAATAAAAAGTTGTCAATTGAATTAATATTCAGGGCAGATGAAAATAACCCCGTCAGATATTGGCTTCCTGAAGTATTACATGGATTACACACATATCACTTATTAAAAAAGGACACTATCAGGAAAAAAAAATAACCTAACCAGAGCTAAAAAGGCATTTCTGGGGCACTTTCCATAACAACAAATCAGCCTCAGGAATTACATGAGCATTTTTTCAGCTGTTCATCTCATAAAAGTAAATTCAATCCCAAACTTTTGCCATTAACAATTTTTTATCCATAGGAACATTAATTGACATTCTGATCTAAGAACAGATTTAAAATTGCAGTATAAAGATTGAAAATTTAAATTTAAATTAAAGTTGGTTAGATCCTGCTTCATGAACAGCCAATCTACTCCTAAACAGAAAAGAGTCAGAAAAGGAGAGGAATATCCGCATTCATACAATGAATACAATATTATTCATAGCAGAATAATATCCTTTTAGCACTTAATTAGATTTTATTGTAGCCAATAACATGTGCAGGAGCCTATTAAGAAATAACATCCACATGCCAACTATGGAAAAAATGATATTTTTGTTGAATAAAATGCATAAACCTTGATATCTAAATATTACTACAGTTGTACATGTTGATGAAATACTGAAACAATGGCATTAAGAAAAGCAGAAGGCAAAAATCCATCAATTTTGGTCTCAGTGTGATCAGTCCAATTCAACGCTTTATACATAATCTGTTTTCAAGCTTAAATATTCACATATTGCATTCAGATGGCCTGCTTTTCCATAAAGAAGGCCACTAAGCCTACATGTAGTCCATGACTAATTACTACAACAGAGACCCACATTTCTGTTATAAATTGATGCAGTTATGAAGTGAGTCATCGGGTGACAGGACTAGGTTTTGCAACCCTTTTTACCATGGTAGTTATGCAAATCACATGGTCATTAAGCAAATCCATTCCCCAATGGACTTTTTTGTAAGAAACCGGCTGGGAAGAGGACATTGAAACTAGTTGTAAAGGCAACCCAGTTGCCAAACTACAGTCAAGTGATCAATGCAGGGACAGATCATAAATCACTTTTTCTGAAGTCACTGTGATTTTGAACCACCATTAAACAAATGGTCGTAAGTCAAGGACTACCTATATTCCACTTTATGTCTGGATCAAATCTTCCAAGAATCATCTGCATTAGGCTCTACATGGAGTTCCAGAATGCTTTCCCACATACCATCTTTTACCTTTATATGTTTTGATTTTAATTATAGTTTCTTTGACTATTGTGAGCTACCCCAAATCATTGAGATTTGGCTGGTACACAAGTTTAATTAATTAATATTAATCATTATCCCAGTCCAATACTTAATATTTTCTGGTATTCTGTAAAGATATCATCCTATGACCTCCATCCTCTGCTACTTTTCACTTATCAACCAAAGGTATAGATCATAATGTATATTAAATTTATCTTGAATCAAGGCAAGTACAAAAGCAAAAGTATAATGCAAAAAGCCTTGTTATAAGGTTAGGATGAAAATTCACACATACATTAATATACACCTTGTTATGTTGCAACTTTGCTTTTCCTCTGGGTCAGTTAGAAGATGAATTTCTATTAATTAGCACTAGGCCTTCACTTCATTATCATAAGGCAAATTCATTTGCAGCTGCTGTGTCAATTTTTCTCTTTAAAAAAAAGTTATACAACCATTTACATAACCTGCCAAGCCAGGAAAACTATGCAGCATTTGTAAAATATCTCATTAAAACAATTTCCCTCATATAGAAAAAAATAGTCTTTAATGTCAACTATGCTTATTGTGATGGCAGCATACAACCATACATCCATACCCATCAAGGCTTTCCAGTGATCATGGAATCTACAATTTTAAACCAATAATTACCAATAACTGTCAAAGAAAGTAGCCAGGCATTTGTTTTTATAGACAGCAGCTTACCTTAGAATGCACAGGCACACTTTGCCTCCTGATGTTAAACGACAAAATCCAAATCTTTGCTTGCTTTCAATGTCAGTAAGCACAAAAGTAAAATGCTGTCCAACTTGCGTTACCCTGGGGGGAAAAAACTGGGTTAGAAAGCACTGCCTTTAACACTAAAAAGTAAACATGCTTAAAATTAATGTTAATACTATTAGATTAATTGTTATTATATAATAGCAGATTAATAGAATAAAAAAACATTTTGAATCCAATCTAAATAATATAGAAAATAATATGAAAAGCCTCTGAGTGAACAGACATAGATGTAGTACAGTGGTCTTCACTTAACAACTACCTCATACGGCAACCATTTGCAATTACAAAGTGATGATCAATCTGCATTTATGACCCTTGCAGGTCTGTATAGCAAACGAAAGCTGAAGTAAAATCATAAGCATAATTGGGGTTTCACTAGCAACTGCTTCACTTAATGACCTAGTTCAGGGATAGGCAACCTCGGCTCTTTTATGATTCATGGACTTCAACTATAGCTGACTCAGGAATTCTGGGAGTTGAAGTCCACGAGTCATAAAAGAGCCGAGGTTGTCTACCCCTGACCTAGTTGCCAAACACAACTGAGATTGCTAAACAAGGACTACCTGTACAACTTTTTTTAATGATGTGGAATGTTTGTACTTGAAAGAATAGAAGGAAATTTCTTAGACAGAAGAGCTTTAGTGAAAGAAAATGTTGTTAGTAATATTAATATTAAAATATTATTTGTAACAGGCAATAAAGAATTAAAGATGTTCCATTTTTACTTAGACCAGAAGACCTTAAAATGGAGATTACGCTCCTGTGAACTGATTCCGATACCCGAATTATAAACCAAACAGTAAGAGGGAATTTAGGTTTTAAAAGTAGCTGACACTAATCATTAAAAGGAAATGTAACTTTTTACACAAGTAAATAGTGCTCCAAGCTGTTTTCTAATAAAACCTAATATTTTAGTACATTTCTCTCTCATTTTTTGTTTATATGTGTGTTTTAAAAATGATCTTAATAGCTAAAATAATAAATCATTGATTGATGAAGAACATATATAAATATTCATCAATCTTGTTGACTACAAAGGACTTTTTCAAGGTCACTATTATAGATGGCAACATTTTAAATACATATTTAAACAACAGGGTACACTCATCTGACAATGAAATAGATAGGGAGTATTTATATTTCTGCATTTATTATCAAGACATAATTTAAAGTTTTCTTGGAGGACAGATTAAGAATTACTTCTTCTTATATAGGTAGTTATCAACATCAAATATGAGTTGTTTGCCCTTCTACAGGAAAAAATCATTTTCCCGTAGATTTATATATGTCTGTGTAATTGTTCAGGAATGTGTAGCCATTCATGTGACAGAAAGATTTACACTAAAGTTATGAGCTGCTTATATGTCTTTGATACTGTTTTCATTAGCATATATAGCATATTTTCCAGTTTAAAAAAACAAATGTTCATAGTTTAAAAGTACAACTAAGATAAAGACAAAAAGCTACGAAATTAGAAATGATATGAAGTAAATAGGGACTTTTTTTCACACAGAAGCAAATGCAATTAGACAAAGTAACTCCATAAAGTTGTTATTTGGGAAGAGAAAAAAGGAAGCATAACAAAATATATAATTAAATTATAAAATTCATTGACTAGAAATATTCATTGACTGATATTAATTTTATAAAATAAAATATCTAAGGATTTCGTTTGTTTCAAGTGTTAAATGAAACTGCCATATTCAAAAAAGGACAATCTCAATGAATTGAGGATTTTTTTTGGATAAACATCCCTTTGTGTTTTGCTAAATTTAAATTGTATGTGATCCAAAAAGGACACTTCTATATATTATTATTCTAGTTTCTACAGTTTAATTTGTATGTTGAACTTTCATATTTTCACTGAAAGATAATATAGCCTACCTTTAATATTTAGTACTTATATATCATAAGTAAAACATATTAGATGAGCAAACATATAGCTGGCATGTTATTATTATTATTAATTCTGAAGCTATGCTCTACATGGACCAATTTAAATTGCCAGGGCTTTGCTGAGTCTGGATTCTAGAAACTGCTACCTAAACAGCCACAATTTATACCAAAAATTTTCATGTTTTCTAATATTTACCAGTGTATAATATGACATTATGAAAGAATATGAATCTTTAACCTTAAATCGTGTTTCTCAATAATACAGACCAAGAATAGTTAGACATTATCAAATTGTTTTGAAGCTATACAAAAAAGCTATGAGCTTCTTACTCTTACTTACTCCAAATTATAGGAAGAGAGCCATGTCAGTCTAAGAGAATAAAAAATTGGAAAAGAAGTCTGGTAAGACCTTTTCAAACTAACAAATTAAAAGGCATAATCTTCCATGATCTACTGCTCATTTCATTAGATGTAATGGAGTAGCTACATTGATATAGGACAGTGGTGGCGAACCTATGGCACACGTGCCAGAGGCGGCACTCAGAGCCCTCTCTGTGGGCACGCACGCCATGCCCTGGAGATGGCAACCATCCCTCTTCAACCAGTTGCCTGCTAACTTGCCGAGGTCCCACATGGCCGGATGTATCCCAGCACCCATGCGCTTGCTGGCCTCTGTGTGCAGGGGCCGATGGTGTCAGGCAGCAGCCGCCCTGGCCCCTGCCTCACCTTGTCCTGTGACAATGGCACCCCTGCCCTGCCTCGCCTTGCCTCACCCTGCAGGACGAACCTCCTGCCCACTGCCCCACCTTCCAGAGACCCCCTGGATCTCCCCCAACCCTGCCCGGCCCCCACAGGCATCTCTCCCCACGAGCAACATTGAGGTGATCACGCCCACTTTGGCCCAATCTGCCGTGACCACCACAACCATGCCCACCCAGTGGGCCACGCCCACCTGGCACCCGGCGATACATAAGTGGGTTTTGGGTTGCAGTTTGGGCACTCGGTCTCTAAAAGGTTCGCCATCACTGATATAGGATCTAAGTTTGAGATGGAGTAAGGGGGATGGGCTCTATTTGTCTATTGATCTCATTAGCCTCCTGAATGCCTGATTTATTTTATCACTTGAGCATTTCAAATGATGGATCAAAACAAATGTAGTTAAAGTCTAAAATCTGGCTATAAATGCTACATTTCGTGGTACATTGGATAAAAGCACAAAGGATGCATGGTGATTTGCAAGTTTCCTTCATGTGTCCATAGTATAGTTTTACCATGATATCAAAGAAGTGAATTCATTCTATAGATTGGCTGATGATAAGGAAGAAGTTGAGGTTATGATGAAATGTATTGAAAATTCTTTTCCATGGCTCCAGATAATGAAAATATCATAAAATATAATAAAAATATAATAAAATATCATAAACATATCTCCAATAAAGGAAGTAAATGTTATAAAATTATTATTTGATCAACTGTGATGAAAATTGTAAGTCCTACTAGTAGTGTCTCAAATTCGGTGAATATTAGTGAATTAAGTGTGATTGTCAGTATTTATAGATAAATGCCAAATCACATTTGTCTAATAAATGTAAATGAAATTAACTGAGAATGAAATTAGTTGATACTATTAAAAATGAGTTTTCATATATTTAGTTTTTTTTAATCTGTCATTTGCTTAAATATTTTCAAAAATATTGGCTTTGAGATGCTTTTTCTTGTTGAAAGATGACAAAACGTAATGGAATTGCTAGGAACAAATTATTTTGGTTATTATTACCCACATAATACTACCACTAACTAAGCAATAGAACAAACATTCCTCCACTAATTTAATAAATAAAAACCCATAGAAGAGAATTATTTGTAGTTCAGAGTTAAAGTGTGCGGTCCTTGGTGCTCGGTGAGCTTAGCTGTTTTCTTGCACATGTCTCATTAACAAATTAGTAATGCACCAAGAACCCCATAAATGAAAACTTCTCCAAAACATAATATAGTTTAATTTTATTTATTTATCACATTTATTTGCTGCCCATATGACAGTTCAGGAATTACATGTCTAATTGCTGGTCACCATTCCATCAGCAAATGCTCAAATGAAGCTTTTAAAATGGCTGGGTGATCTTGGGCCAGTCACTCTCTTTCAACCGAATCCATCTCACAGGATTGTCATTGGGGGGGAAATAGGAGGAGGAAGATGTATTAGATATATCTGTTGCCTTGAGCTACTTGTAAAAAGAATAAAGGTGGGATAGAAAAATCAGGCGGCGGCTTGGGAGACAACTGCCGCCGCAGCATTGGACCGAGTCGTGCCTTTGCGGCCTCTGACCCGACGTAGATCTCGATTGGCTCCCTGGTTTGCCGAGGAGCTGAGAGAGATGAAACGTCGGAAAAGATGCCTAGAGAGATGTTGGAGGGCCAGCCGAACCGAACCCGACCGAACACGGGTTAGGAT